CGGAGCCCGCCCCGGCCCAGCCTCGCCAGGGAGGACGAGGACGAGGACGAGGACGAGCCCACGGAGACAGAGACCTCTGGGGAGCGGCTGGGGGTCAGCGATAATGGAGGTGAGAGGGCGCGGGGCCGGCGGGCTCGTCTGCTACGGCAGGTCTTGCGCGGGTGGGACGGGCAGATGTCCGCACCGTGATGCCCACTCGGAGCCTGGGCCAGGCCGCGCGACCGCGAGCGAGCGAGCGAACTCCTCAGCCCACACTGGCTCACTGCCCCAGGGCCAGCTCTGCCCACAGGTGCTGGGCACTGGCCAGACTTGGACCCTCTTGCCAGGAGACTCCCGCTCTGGCCAAGAACAGGAGTCCTGTCACGGGGCTGTGTGCTGAGGCCGTCGGCGGGAGGCGCCTCCTCACGGGCGCAGCACAGCTGTCGCACGCCTGAGGCCTGGGCCAGGAGCCCTTAGGGGAGTCTGGAGGGCTGATGCTTCCCGAGACCGGGCTGTCACACTGGGGTTTTGAAGAGTAAGTAGGAGTTTCCTGGAGCTCAGTGAACAGGAGTTAACCGTTTGTCACGGGTGACTTCCTCCTAGTGGCTGGGGGCGAGTCCGAGGGCACAGACCCGAGCCGGCGACCTGGGCTCCACCCCGGTGACGCCGCCTGTCTGCCGGGGGACGGCAGCAAGCCCCTTTACTCCTCTGTCCTTCAGCTCCTATCTCGCGACCTGTCTTCTTCTATGCTCGTTTGTTAAGAAGATATGTTTTAGCTGGGATGCTGGGGGGGGGGGGTGAGAGGACTCTCCAGAGACATTGGGGAGCAGAACAGGTGGATCTCCTGAAACACACTGCTGAGGGGAGCAGCGGGGAGACAGGGGAGGTCTGTTGCGCCCTGGGGGCCACTCCCTGGCTGGGGATCGAACTCAGAACTCAAGCTGCAGAGGCTGCGGGCACCTTCACAGTGCTGAACAAACAACCCCTGCGCCGCCGAGGAGGCCCCATCTCTCGGCTTGTGTTCTGAGTCCACTTCCCTTACAGACCTCACAGACCTCACATGAATCCAGCCAGTTGCTTTCACCCCTGGGTGGCACAGGTGGATAAAAATGGGTCTGTTCCTGAGAACGACGGGCAGATAGCCAGAGCGAGGGCGTCCATAGCTGTGGGCGGTACGGCGGGACCTGAAGCCCTGGTCTCACCCCTTCCCCAGGGCTCTTTGTGATGGATGAGGACGCCACACTCCAGGACCTGCCCCCCTTCTGTGAGTCGGACCCCGAGAGCACAGATGGTAAGTGCCCACCACTGTACCCGTCCCCAGCCAGGGCAGGGCCTGGGCGAGGGCGCAGGCCGAAGTCGTGATCTCTTGCAGACGGCAGCCTGAGCGAGGAGGCTCCCGCAGGCCCCGCGGCCTTCTCGGTGCCCCCGGCCGCAGCCCTGCCCACACAGCAGTATGCCAAGTCCCTGCCCGTGTCCGTGCCTGTCTGGGCCTTCAAGGAGAAGCGGACAGAAGCGCGGTCCTCAGATGAGGAGAATGGGCCGGTGAGGGACTCGTGAGACCGGGGGGGGGGGGGTGTCGGGTGGGCTGGGGGGTGTCAGTGGGCGAACCCAGCTGCCTCCTCCAGGGAGCCCTCAGGCGTGGAGTTTTGCAGGATTGACCTTCCTGTCCGCCAGGCAGATCCCTGCGCCAGAGCTGCCCCCTTCTCATCCCTCCTGTGCTGTGACCCTGTGCCTGAGGAGAAGCCGGCCTTGCGTGGCACCGGCACGGGGCGCGGCCCCAGGGTCTGGCCTCCCCTCCAGTTGGGTAACAGGCTGGGTGTGAGGGCCAGGGCACCCTCCTCCCCACCCATGCCTGACCCTCCTGGAATTTGGCCCACCCCTGTCCTCCCTACAGCTGCGTGCTGCCCTGGGGGAGATGGACTTGGGTGGTTCCTCTCTGCTGAGGGGAAGCCCAGGCATGGGAACACTTTCTGCTTCTCTGAGGCCTCAACCTAGGGGCAGAGCTGAGGTGGGGAAGGGAGCTCCGGGCCGCCAGGGGAGGCCTGTGGCACTGGTGCTGCATCCGCACTCACAGCGGGGCTTGCGCTGCCCTGTCTGTCTGCAGAGGCAGTCCCGGGTGGAACGTTAGGGACTCTCGGCCACGCCCTGGGCTGGTGGACTCTCCCGTTCTGCCTGGGGGGCTGGCCCAGCTCAGGGTGACAGGCTAGCCGCAAGGGAGCTGCTGGCAGAGAGACTGGACCTGTTTTTCTGGAGGGGAGGCCTAGGGCAGCTGACTGAGAAAGAATTTGCACCGCTGCGGGTCAGGGCTGAGGGCAGCGGGCTGGAAGGCTTCCTGGAGGAGGTGGTGTCTGAGTGGGTGCAAGCGCACACGGAGCAGAGCAGGCTGGAGGGCGTTCCTGGCAGCGGGCACCCACAGGCAAAGGGCGAGGGGGGCGCAGCGGCGGGTTGGGGCGGGTGCGGGCGGTTTGGCCGCGCCCTTGACCCCGTCGGCCGTGGCTCTCCGCAGCCCTCCTCTCCGGACCTGGACCGCATCGCGGCGAGCATGCGCGCGCTTGTGCTGCGGGAGGCCGAGGACACCCAGGTCTTCGGGGACCTGCCCAGGCCGCGGCTCAACACCAGCGACTTCCAGAAGCTGAAGCGGAAATACTGAGACCCGGGAGGGAGCCTCGGGCCGGCCGGCGCCCGCCGCCCCACACTACACCCCCGCCCCGCCCCCGGCGCCCGCCAATGCGGGTGCGGGCCGGACCGGCCTCCCGCCGCGGGCCCGGGACTGCCGCCCCCGCCAGTCCTGGCTCCTCAGCCCGCGACCCTCCCTCTCGTGCCAAGGAGCGGGCCCGACACGTTGTCGCCGGGTCTGTCGCCCTTTTTTTCTGCCCCGCGACAGATTTTGTATATTAAGCGATTGGCTCGCTCCCTGGTCGGGGGGTGGCCAGTTCTAACCCTTGACTGGGCCCGCCCCGTCTTATTCTGCCTAGCGACAGGGCATTGCTTGCGTGGTATTGGCTTGAAATGCCTTGGAAGAACACTGCCGAGGCCCAGGATTGGGTAGTGGCGCGCCACTATGGCAGAAGCTGGGTAGCCTCTTCATATGATTGGCTTGAACCCAAAGGGCTTAACCAATCTCTGAGAGTCACCACCGCCCTTCTTGAGCTTTTCCGCCTGATTGGCTGCGGCTGCTGGAGGCGGGACAAGCCCTCTTCCTGCTCCCGGGATTGGCCAGTGGCCTTAAATCGACGTTCTTTACACTACTGGGTTGGGGTCAGCTTTTTGCCCTGGTCCTGACACCTTGTCCCTGGCCCCCGCCTCAGGGATGGCCCAGCCCGTCCTCCGCGCCTCACGTCCTCTCATTGGGTCCCTCCTCCAGCCTGCCAATCGAAGCCCGTCCTTGCGTCGAGGATGGTACCAGCTCCCGCCCCTCGCCCCCTCACTCCCACAGGTGCCTTAAAGGGCTCTCGTCCACTCAAGGTGGGGGGCAGTGCCCTCACTCTCCGGCCCTGGGATGGGGAGGGGGCGGGGCCGGGAGTCGGGAGGGGCGCTCTGAGATTAAAGAGTTTACCTCTGGCCCGAGTGCACTGCATGAGTCTCGGGTGTTCGCTCAACATGTCCTGAGGCCGCAGGAGCGGGCATTGAAGCCCGCCGCGAAGCTGCCCGCTGGAATGGCCCCCCGTGTTGCAGATAACTGAACAGAGGCGCGAGGGTGGGGGTAGGACCTCAGTTCTGGGTGGCGGGGCCCCAGCCCCAGGGGGTGAGTCTCCTGAGCCCACAGTCACCGGCAGAGCCCAGCGGAGGCGAATTTTGCGCCTGGTAGCACCTGGCCCGCAGTTAGGGTAGGTCGAGGGAACCTGGGCCGCGCCGCCCCGGGGTGGCTGACAGTAGAGGAGACTAACGGCAGTGACCCAAGCACCTCGTCATCTGCACGCATGACCCCTTTAATCTGCCGTGACGCGGAACGATAACCCCCACTTTATGAATGAGGGCTAGGGGCGCTTGCGGGGACGGGGACTTCTTCGACCGACAAAGATCATCCAAAGGGAAGGCGGGGTCCTCCCGTTGCAACGCCAGCAAAGCTACTGGAAGAGTTGAACGTGGAAAGGGGTCTTGGGACAGGCGCCCCCTGCCGGCCTGCGCCTCTCGCTGCAGCTGGGACGCGAAGGCGGGAGCCGCGGGAACTCGGTAGGGGCGGGGCTTCGGCGGGGGCGGAGCCAGGCCCGCGGGCCCCGCGGCAGTCACTTCCGCTTGCCCGGGAACGGAGAAAGCGGCCGACGGCCTGCGAGCCCGGTTCCCCCGCCAGGGTCCCCTGAACGGGAGTGGCGAGTCAACCCGAGCGCCGGGAAGGGGTGAGCATGGGAGCAAGTTGGGGGCGCTTGAGTTTTTTCGGCCCTTGCCCTGGAAAGTTGGAGGCCTTCAAAGTTGGGGGTCTTGGTCCCCGGTGGGTAGGAGGGACTCTCCCTTGGAAACGGCGCGGAGCGGGTGGGATTTCCGGAGCCCGTAGCGGAAGGAGGGAATTCCTGGCGGAAGGGCGAGAGGAGGCGGGCCTTCCGGTAGCGGCCGGGGCATCCCACCTCTGGCCTGTTCACCTGTGTCCCCCTGGATGACCAGGCGCCCAGGATGACCGAGGCGCAGGCCCAAGGCCGCCTTTGGCTGGAGAGCACCGAGGGAGGGGCGGCTCCCATCTTCCTACCGTCGGATGGGCAACCCCTAATTCTGGGCCGGGGGCCTCTGACCCAGGTCACCGACCGGAAGTGCTCCAGAAACCAAGGTGGGCGGGGCTGGGGGCGGGGCCTGCTCTGACCGCGGCCTCGGTGGGGCGCGGGGCCGGACGTTGTGGCAAGCGGGCCTGTTTGGTCCCAGGCGGAACTGAGTGGCACGGTCTGGACGTTGTAGTGGCCTTCTGGGGAGCGCCAGCCTGTGTCTGACCTGGAACTTGCTGGACAGCCCCCCCCTTACGGGGAGGAGATGGAGCCAGTCCCGAGACAGTTGTCTCTGGCAGAGGATGCTGCGGTCAGGCCTTGGTCAAAAGGGGAAAAAAAAGTACACGGCGTCCAGAGGGGCTGGGTGGGGACGGTCATGCCGAGGGCTGCAGCGGCAGCAGCGTGCTTCGCGTCGAAGCCAGCCTGGGTGAGGACCCGCGTCCCCTGCAGCCCCGAGCCGTGGTCTGTCTGGCCTGTCGAGAAGTGAGCTAAAGCCATTGAGAAATAAGCAGCCTCCTCCGAGTGGACGCAGTGCCCCATCCCGTGGCCATGCCCCCCAGTAGTGAGGGAAGTAGCCCCACAAAATGCAGATCCTGACTCCACTCCCTCAACCCTCAGTTGAGCTGGTCGCAGACCTTGAGACTCGGACCGTGAAGGTGAAACAGGTACCAGATTCTGAGTTGGCAACACCTGGGGGTGGGGTCAGGGCGCATCCTAACCCAGGGGTGCCTAAGTTGGCATATGGACCTCTCTGGTCGGGAAGGAAAGAGGGAGTGGCTAGCAAAGTCCCCAGGGTCCACCCAGCCACTGGTCTATCCCTGTCCTTAAGGCTGAGGCTGGAGCGCATATCTTCCAGAGTCCTGAAGGATGGGCCTCAGATTGGCAGGCCGGGGAGTGCATCCTCCCCTGCTTTGATGGGAGGAGGTTACTGGTGGGCGGAGCCAGTGCCAGCTCCTCCCTCTTTCCCCCCTCTGCAGCTGGGTGTTAACCCTTCAACTGCTGGGACGCAGGAACTGAACCCCGAGTTGGAAGGCTCTCTGGGGGTGGGAGACACGCTGTATTTGGTCAACGGGCTCTACCCCCTGACTTTGCGCTGGAAAGAGTTGCACACCCCAGCATCCCAGCCAGACACTCCACCAGGCACCCCTCCCCTGGCCCCAGACGAGGAGAATGTTGAGCCCCAGAAGAAGCGCATGCGGAAGTGCTCCCCTGGCTGGGAGAGTCTGGAGAAGCTGCTGGTGTTCACAGCGCCTGGTGTGAAACCCCAGGGCAAGGTGAGGGCCGGAGGAGGACCCCAAGCTTGCTGTGCGCCCCAGCAGGTCGCTCCGCCGCGTAGCCTTCACTTAGCCTCTGGGAAGTGGCCTTGGTGACCCAGGGGGGTGGGCAGGCCGCGGGGAGACGACGTTGGCTCCCCCGAGCCCTGTCACCGCGGTGGCAGCAGCTGGGGGCATGGCGGGAGCCCGTGAGAGTATTTTGGGGACCCAGGACTCGGTCATCGCATTACCAGCACGCTCTCCAGGTCACTTTCCTCGCCGTGAGATGTGACTCCGGAAACCTCTGCCTCAGTCGGCCCCCTGAGAAAACTTTAGCTCTTGCTTCTTTGTCAGGGTTAGCAGCCCTTTGAGGTGAAGGGCGGGTGGATTCGCGGCCCTTTTTACGAGTAGATTGTGGGTCTGCAGGAGGCGCAGGAGACAGGTTTTTGGCAGGGCGGCGTTGCTGAGCCGCTGGGCTGGCTGCGGCGGACAGGGCGGGTGGGCCGGGGGCCAGCCTGGTGGTGGAGTCGAGGGTGACACCCAGTCCTGTTCTGGGGGACACCAGGTGGCCGGCTTTGATCTGGATGGGACCCTCATCACCACGCGCAGCGGGAAGGTCTTCCCCACCGGCCCCAGTGACTGGAGGTGAGAGAGGGGAGAGGAGGCAGGGCGCCCCGCGCACCCGCCGCCCGCTCACCTGCCGCCCCGCCGCCCAGGATCCTGTACCAGGAGATCCCGCGGAAGCTCCGGGAGCTGCATGCCCAGGGCTACAAGGTGTGGGTGCGCCCTGGCCGGGCAGACTGGCGGGCCGCAGGCACCATGTGACTCGCGTCTGCTCCGCAGCTGGTGATCTTCACCAACCAGATGGGCATCGGGCGTGGGAAGCTGGCCGCAGGGGAGTTCAAGGCCAAGGTGGAGGCTGTGGTGGAGAAGCTAGGGGTTCCCTTTCAGGTACGCTTGCAGGGGCGACCGAAGGGCTATTGCGTAACAGGTCTACAGGGGCAGCGGGCGCCGCGGGAGGGCACAGGGCAGGCAGGGAGCACCTGGGGGCCGAGTGGGCGATGCTGGCAGAGACCCCACACCAGCCGCTGGTCTGGGGTGCTGGGAGCTCTCCCTGGCGCCAGGGAGGAGCCGGCGGGAGCCTGACTGCCCTGTGCACAGGTGCTGGTGGCCACGCACGCGGGCCTCTACCGGAAGCCGGTGATCGGCATGTGGGACCACCTGCGGGAACAGGTGAGCTGTGGCTCCCCGCCGGCCGAGCGCGCGAGCCCTTAGCCACAGCCCCAAGACCCAGAGACCCAAGGTGGCAGAGGCAAGAGTGGAGGAGGACTGAAAGATGGGGTTCTGATTAGGGTGGTCAGGGAGGCCTCTCTGAGGGCGTGTTAGCGGGAAGAGTTGAAGGGCAGAGAGCGGCCAGCGGGGTGACAGAAGCACCCCCAAGCTAGGCCTGACTGGACTCAAATGGAGGAGCTTGCAGGTGGCTTGTGTGAGGTTTTTGGCCCCATCGGGACTTGACTTTCTCCCGGGCGTGGCGCCCTCTGGCGGCCACGTGGGGAGTAGGCCCCGGGAGGCCTGTCCAGAGTGGCCAGGTGGGGTGGCCGCAGTGAGGGGGGTGGGGAGAGGGTGGACGGCCCATGGCGCGCCGATGGGTCCAATGTGAGACACGAAAAGGGAGGGGTGCGCAGCCTGGTGCTTGCCTCACCTCCTGCCGCCCCCCAGGCCAACGAGGGCGTGCCCATCTCCATCGGGGACAGCATCTTTGTGGGAGGTAAGCGCCGAGTGGGAGAGGGAGGGGCCCCCGGGCTCCCCTGGACCGCGTCCAGCGCCCCGTGGAGACGGGTGTCCCCGTGTGCTCAGATGCAGCTGGACGCCCGGCCAACTGGGCCCCTGGGCGCAAGAAGAAGGACTTCTCTTGCGC